GGGGGCTCGGTGCGCAGCTCGGTCGCCCGCGTTGCCCCTGGCTGTCCCCGGGCGTCCCGGCCCCGCACCGCGCTGACCATCCCTGCTTCGCTCCCCGCAGCTGCGCGGGCAGTGCTACGGTGACAGCGGCGATCCCGAAACGGGCGTCACGGCCATGCTGGAGCTGGGATCCCCTCTGGAGATGATTCAGCTGCTGCAGACCCCCTGGGAGGAGAGATTTAAAGTAAGGAAACAGCTTCGTCGGTCGCCTTTAGACCGCGATCGGGGTGAACTCGAAGAGCGCTTCGGGGCAAACGAGCTTGTCCTGCTGACACTGTTTGCTCCCACAAACTGTCCTTAGACCGGTTCGCTTTCAAATCCCATTAAAACAGCCCTAGCCTGGCGCTGGCTGTGGCATCCCTGCTCTCTAAAGTGGTGTTGAGAGCTACACCTGGCCACAAAATCTAGCTCAGGGCTGGGGTGGTGTTTAATTCCCGGCGTTACAGCACGGTTCTGGTTTTCCCTCTGCATCGTCCCACTGCTGAGGAGCTGCTCCCGCTCGGGCGAGCCGCCTCGCCGCGCTGCCGGTCGGTTGCTCTCTGTGCCCTGCCGATCCCAGCGGCGAGCTGAGCAGCCCGTCGCTCGCCACGCGTGTGTGTGGTGTTTCTCATCTTCGCCCCTGAGGTATCGCTGTAGTACAAACACGACTAAGTTGCTTTCCTCCGGCTGTACGTGCAGGGATCGCATCCCCGTTAGTGAGATCCGCCTTGTCGCCCAAGCATCCCGCATAGGGACTCCTGAGCTCCCCAGGAAAGTAAATGACTTAGGACATGGCACGTATTTTGGTTGTAGCTTGTATTACAGCTTGCCTTAAGGTCTCAGTTGGGGGTTCACTACTCCTTGTTTGGTTCTCAGGAGGAAAGAGAGGATCAAGCAGAAGCATAGGTACGTTAATGTCAGTAAGAAATGCTTTGGGCAAAACAGAAACAGAGCGAAAGTCCCAACATGAAATCCCTGCCTGCATGCAGTCCGCAATGTTGAGAAGGAGCCTTGCCACCCGAGCCAGAGAGGGAGAGTGGCAGCTGTGCTCACTGAGCTGTGGGATGCGAAGCTGGGGTTCTTATGATTGCTTCACTAACAAAGTTAAAACAGCCTCAGAGCTTCCAGAGTCATTTCTCTTGGCCTGTGGGGTTCCACTTTTGCTTACAAACTACTTCATACCGGCTTCCACATAGCTTTCCCAGCACTCATTTTCTCAAATGTGCCAAAGTCTCTGTAGAGCTGGAAACCCACGATGCTGGATTAGCTGGTGGTGAGGTCTGGTGTGGTGGCATGAAGATTTTCATAATCTTTTGACTGATGAAGACACAAATTCAGAACTTACACTGGCACTATCTAGTCCTGTTTCCTAACACGGGCGCCTGGACGGGTGAGATTCCCTCCCCTCTGCTGAGCCCCATCAGATACCAGCGATCCTGCGAGCTGTTCCGAGCGAGCAAACCCTCACGCCTGCAGAAATGGCCATTGGAGACGGCGAAGGGTGGCGCGGGGGGGGCTGCCTGGCACACCTGCCTGACAGCATAGGTCATCTGATGCCAGGGCTCCCGATGCTGCATGAAAACTGCTGCAAAAAGCTACTTGAACAAAGTGCTGGCGCAGTATAAATGTGCTCTCCTAGCTCTAGTTTGTTAAAAAATAGTTTGCAGAGCTCTGTGCTGGATCAGGTATTGTCTGACCTTTCCCTGCCGCCAGAAAGTTGACATAAACACGAAAAAGCTGGCAATAAATACATTGCATGCTTTGGCTGATTCTTCAGAAGCACGATTGTGTGCCCAAATTCATACTGCTGAGTGATGCAGCAAGGCTTGAGTCTGGTATTAATGACTGGAGATTAGTACATGGAGCCGCCGTATGTATGGAGAAGCATGGGGGAAGGGAGGGGGATGTATTAATTCTATGCCAGAGTGGGAAAAAAACCCTTCTGATTTCAGCTAGCAAGTCAATATAGCTCCTGAAACATGAAGGCTGCTATTGTTTTCCTCACAGCTTTCTCCTCTAGTTCCTCTAACTGCAAATGTCTCTTTTTGTATACGAACATTTTTCAAAAATGTTGCTGAACTACTTACCAGTCAAATCCTGTGGCAATGTTGATAATAAATTTTGTAGCATACATATAATTACCTTTTAAGTACTATATGCTTTTTTTTTTACCTTTAATTTCATTGAATGCCCTCCCCTTTGTTCTACTTCCAATTTAATAGCTGTTTTTCATCTGTTTTTCCCATGCATATTCATCTTCTCTTTCTCAGATTTGCCTGAGTCTTGTGAAACTGCTGTTTTACTTGGCACATTCCCCTCTGGGTTCAATAGTCCTCTTGGATTTCCAGCCGAGGCAGTTTGTTATGGTGGATGGAAACCTAAAAGTGACAGACATGGATGATGCCAGCACTGAGGAACTGTCATGCAAGGAAGATAATGACTGCACACTCGACTTCCCCACAAAAAGCTTTCCTCTCAAATGCTCCGCAGTTGGGAAATGTGAAGGGATAAATGAAAAAAAGAATCTTTTTAATGCTTATCGGTACGTCCAGTGGGATGGGGGGAAAATCTGGGGTCACTGAGCTCACATACGGCAGTACCCTCTAGCATCTCGTGTTTCTTCCATGCAGTGATTCCCCCTGTCCTCTGTCAAAGGGTGGTTACGGATCGATTTGAAGTTGGTTTATTTTCCTTATAAGGCAGGAAAATAGTGTAGTTGTTGTCTGGTGGGAATGCAGGCATCTTTCTTCTGCTGCTGCCTTACCCCAACACCCTCTAGAAACTTGCCCCAAAGGTTGCACCTGGGAATTTAGTGTTTGCCAAACAAGCCCTGGCATTTGACATCCACGGGCTGTGTTTGCTGAAAGCAGTGGCAGCGCGGGCTACCTGCCAAAGGCCACCAGCTCTGAGCCCCCAGTGTTGGGAATGGCCTGGCCAACTCTTCCCTTGAACTCTGAGTCTCCCTGCGGAGGCTATGGGCACCTGTGGAAGAGCAATGAAACAGGTAATGGGCAGCGGGGCGAGACTGCTGCAGCATTTCGTGTAGGCCGCCAGCTGAAAGCGCAAGGACTTCCACGCACCGTTGGTGCTTGGCAGGTCAAGTACCAGGGGAAGCTGGATATTTATGCGGAAGGACTTAGTGTAAGGGACGTTGTATTTGCAGGACTTGGTGTTAAAGGGAAAATTCCTGTATAGATTATTAGAGCCTTGCTGTAACGCACTTATCTCTTGTAGAACAGGAGTTTTATAGAAGGTTCAGGGAATGAGTGTCCAGCCTTTCCAGGGGTAATAAAAATGCCAAGCCTTTCCAGGGCAAGGGAAAGGTCTTTCATGAGTCTTCTTCTATATAGGTCTTTTTCTGATTGGAAATTCATTACGTAGTGCACAAAAATTGACCTGGGGAAGGGGGGAAAGCTCTGTTGCGTCAGCCTTTGCAAGGTAGGTTTCAGGTGGCGCATGGCAGCATGCTGTGCTGCAAGGACCAACTTTTCAGCCTAGCTCTCATCATCTGTGAGATGCCAATAGAGTGCTGAAATGTAACGTAATAACCAAAGCAAACTTACTAGTTGCATATGGATAAACAAGTCACGGGAAAAATGTAGACAGCTTAATCACTAGGGAAATTAAGCCACTGTATTCTAATCAGTCTGTGGGATTTTTTTACAGGTATTTTTTCACGTATCTTTTGCCACACTCCGCACCGTCAGCTTTGCGGCCCTTTTTGAGCGATATTCTGAATGCAACAGGTACCAGCTAATATTTATAAAGTTCTTCATTAGAATTCTCTAAATGCTGTTTCATGGAATGAAACACGGATTCACCAAGGGGAAATCACGCTTGATCATTCTGATGGCCTTCTATGATGGCGTGACGGGCTGGGTAGATGAGGGGAGAGCAGTGGATGTTCAGCATGACTTCAGAAAGGCTTTTGGTGGTGTCTCCAATAACATCCTCATAGGGAAGCTCAGGAAGTGTGGGCTAGATGAGTGGACAGTGAGGTGGATTGAGAACTGGCTGAATGATGAAGCTCAACAAGGGCAAGGGCAGGGTCCTGCACCTGGGGATGGATAACCCCATGTACCAGTACAGGCTCGGGGCTGACCTGCTGGGAAGCAGCTCTGCGGAGAGAGCCCTGGGTGTCCTGATGGATGACAAGTTGACCAGGAGCCAGCAGTGTGCCCTTGTTGCCAAGGAGGCCAATGGTGTTCTGGGGTGCATTAAGAAGAGTGTGGCTAGCAGGTCGAGGGAGGTTCTCCTCCCCCTCTACTCTACCCTAGTGAGGCCCCATCTGGAGTACTGTGTCCAGTTCTGGGCTTCCCAGTTCAAGAAAGATGAAGAGCTACTGAAGAGAGTCCAGCGGAGGGCTACAAAGATGATGAGGGGACTGGAGCATCTCTCCTACAAGGAAAGGCTGAAGGAGCTGGGCTTGTTTAGCCTGAAGAAGAGAAGGCTGAGAGGGGATCTTATAAATGCTTATAAATATCTTAAGGGTGGGTGTCGAGAGGATGGGGCCAGACTCTGTTCAGTAGTGCCCTGTGACAGGACAAGGGGCAACGGGCACAAACTGAAGCATAGGAAGTTGCAGCTGAACATGAGGAAGAACTTCTTCCCTCTGAGGGTGACGGAGCCCTGGAACAGGGTGCCCAGAGAGGTTATGGAGTCTCCTTCTCTGGAGATATTCAAGACCCGCCTGGACAAGGTCCTGTGCAGCCTGCTGTAGGTGACCCTGCTTCGACAGGGGAGTTGGACTAGATGACCCACAGAGGTCCCTTCCAACCCCAAACATTTTGTGATTCTGTGATTCTGTGAATTGCTCATCTTTGTAATCTCTTTCTTTAAATGTAGGTGATTTACGATACGGAATAAATGAAACCCTGAAAGCTTTTGAAAAGGTTTTACATCTGTACAAGTCTGGACTCTATCTGCAGAAAAGACCTCTTCATTTAAAAGGTACATGATTTTGAATGCTTTAGGTAACATAACTACTGAGGGAGCGAGCAACTTGGTAAACTGGTCAAATGTTGATCTCCTATACATTCAAGCAGTGTTTAGTCATTAGGAAGAGCACCACAAGTATTTTTTTTTTAAGCAGCCTTTTGTTGTTTCTTCATGGGAGCTATGCATGATTGCGTTGTCTTGCAAAGTAAATGCAGTGCAGACAATCTGGCCTACATATGGACATATGTTTGCAGTGCTTCTACATACTCTTCTCATAATGTGCATCAGTGTTTCAAGTGAATGTATTTGGGATAGCTTAAGCAACTGTAGAGTAGCAAACTGAGTGTCCCATGTTCCTCTTCGGGGTCATCTTATCGTACGGGCCAATAGGGCAGTTTTCTGGACTGATATTGAAACTTTCCATTTCACTTGGTGGCTTCTGACTGCTGAGCCCAGGTTATTATGGGAACGTACAGTGGGGAGGTCACAACACCGAGATGAGTGTGGCAGAGTAGCTAGAGCCTTGGTGCCTTCTGAATTTCTGAAGACAACCCAATAGGATGGACTTGTGGATGGATGAGTGAGCCTCTGTGGGGTGCATTCCTCTGAAGAGGACCTGTTCAGTGGTAGAGATGAGGCTAATCAAAAGGAAGCTTGAAAAGTCCAGTGGTTACTGCAGCTTACATTTTCCTGAGTGTTTGCTTGAGATGGTGGGGTGGTGATGGTGGCTTGCAGAAGGAAATCTCTTTAAGTCTGGAAGAACTGGAATTTGCACAGTTGTGAACAAGGGTATTCAGTCATTTGCACTGAAAGACCAGCAGCTGTAACAGGAATTATTAGTATTTTGCACTGACACCTACCCGTTGGCTTTGCAACTGGCCCAGTAGCAAGGTGTCAAAATTACCACCGTCCGAGTGGTGTGGGAAGGTGAGGAGAGACTCTTAGCAGTCAGTAAACAATAGCCTGAACGCTGCCTGCTCAGGCTTGTTAGGTGTTTTGTATCCCACTGGAGCTCTGTGTGGCCTCCCTTTCCCCCACTGGGGTTCCTAAATCTGCTGCACCCGCGGGTGGCACCACGATGGGTGGATCAGCATGTGCCCCGTGTAGCTCGGTGCTGTATCTGTGGTGAGCTGGTCCTGCTGTTGGGCCCGAGGCGTGGCAGAGGCTGGGGGGGCTTTGGCTTCTCCGGAGCCCTGCTAGAAAGGCAGGTCTGCACAGCAGCCTCCCCCTCTCATCCACCCCGGATGATTGCTCCCTGTCCGCTTGGCAGAGGCTGTTGTGACTTTGGCTTCTCCGGAGCCCTGCTAGAAAGGCAGGTCTGCACAGCAGCCTCCCCCTCTCATCCACCCCGGATGATTGCTCCCTGTCCCTTCACCCTGCACCCAGTCTCCATAGGAACCTAAGAGCTCTGCACCTTCTCTTATATCTGTGGAGAAATTGCTGTCCTGTGCTTCATAGCAAAACTAAAAGTCAGAATTTGAGTTTCTTTTAATTTTGCAGCTCCACCCACTCCATCTAAGCAGGTCCGTTCAATCTATCACTATCACATTTCATTTAAGAGTTTCTCTGAAGCACAAAATGCTAAGTGTATATTGTAACAAGTCTCTGAAAGTGCAGTTAAAGAGTGCCCTTAAATACCCTCTTTCTGTTCCCAGACTACATCTCCCTAAAGGGCTTCCGAGCGGTGGAAGGAGAAGACTACAAGTGCTGGCCCTCCTACAGCCACCTGGGATGCCTGCTCTCCGTCCACAGCGCCGAGGAAGCCGCCGCGATTTGCAGCTCCCAATCACAGTGTCAAAGTTTTATCCTCACCCAGCGGAGGACGTGGACAGGTGAGCTTGGGCAGATGTGACAGGACGCTGCTGCGTGGTGCCCTTGCTTCCTCGGTCGCGAGTGGCTAGGGTGCTGCTGCCCTCCTCTGTAGTGCCTGGAGTCCACAGGCGCGTATAAAAGCCACTTCTCTTATTCTCAAGATCAGATGGCTGCCGTGGTGGGCATCCAAGGATCCCCTGGGTATTTGTTAGGACACATGAGAGAATTTATATTCTCCTAAAGCTAAGAGAGTTGGGGTTGTTCAGCCTGGAGAAGAGAAGGCTCTGGGGTGACCTTATAGCAGCCTTCCAGTACCTGAAGGGGACCTACAGGAAGGATGGAGAGGGGCTTTTCACAAGGGTATGTAGTGATAGGACAAGGGGGAATGGCTGTAAACTAAAAGAGGGCAGATTTAGATTAGATATTAGGAAGAAATTCTTTACCATGAGGGTGGTGAAACACTGGAACAGGTTGCCCAGAGAAGCTGCGGATGCCCCCTCCCTGGAAGTGTTCAAGGCCAGGTTGGATGGAGCTCTGAGCAACCTGGTCTAGTGGAAGATGTCCCTGCTCATGGCAGGGGGGTTGGAACCGGATGATCTTTAAGGTCACTTGCAACCCAAATCATTCTATGATTCTATGATTCCTTCTGCAGATTCTTTCCTTTACAGATTTTGCACAGGACTGCTAGATACTGTTAAACGGTTACTTTCATGCAGAGATGGCTTCACTTTGGTGTCAGACTAAACAATTCCTGTGGTGTGTACAGTTTGAAAAAAGCTGTGGGGTTTTCAGAGATGAAAGAAGCTATGTAAAAGAAGGCGGTTACTATTGTTATAATTAAAAGAATCATAGCTTACAAGTTGTTATCCCCTTTATCAAAACTAAAGCCCCAAACCAATGGATTTCCAAAATGTCCCTGTAATTAGCTCTGATTATAGCCTCTTATGGCTAGCGTGTTTTCAGTATGATTATGAATTACCTCATTTAGCTGACATTCAACTGTGGGCTAAATTGTTACTTATAAAGTGAAACAGTAAATGAGGTAAAAGAGTGTTTTCACTCACGATGGTGCTGAAGAATCGCATCTTGTTGGCTCAGATGAGACATAAAAAGCAATCCCCAAACTACGAAAAACGCAGCTCGTCTGTGGGTTCGTGTGGAATTGGCATGTGGCACACTAGTGACATAAGAGTGCTTACACTGACGCAACATAGCTCTCTTCGAGCCGGCTTCACACCGGCAATGGATTGTGTGAGTTGTGCCTAACGCCTCACATCTGGCTTCCTCGTGGGGCAGCTGTTGGTTGCTGTGTTCGGTGCCTGGCTGGAAGGAGCCCCGCTTCAGTCAGCGGTGGGGATGCAGAAGCAGCAGCACGCGGGACAGAAGACACTTTCTGCAGTGCCTGGCTCAGACGCTGATCCCCGCCATTCCGCACCATGCCTGCGGTCTGTTAACATTTCCCTTCCTGACATTTTTCTTCCTCACATTTTTCCAGCTCGATCTTTGCAGTCAGAGATGCCAAAAGTGTGTGGCTGAAATGCCGAGAGTGTGACTTTGCCAGCTGGATTAATGAGGGCTGTGGGAACATGCTAGTCCCTCCTAGGGCAGCTTGGTACAGGAAAGCGGGATGCAAAAGCCTCTGGGGCCCGACTGTGCCTTCCTTGTGCACACTCGGCGAGCATCTGGAGTTTCCTGGGAGCGTAAAACACATCTATGGCAGGGTGGAGCCACCCTCCGCTGAGCAAGCGGTGCGCTCCTGCGTCTTTTGCAGTAAATAGCATGGGTCAAGGTGAACCTATCTACTTTCTTAAACTTGCATTTTTATTTCCTTTCCAGGACGCCCACTCGCCTCATTTCAGAGTAGCCTGGCTGATTTAATACCGGATGCTAATGCTGTAGTCTATATTAAACGATCGGCTTCCTCAGGGGAAAGACTTTAAAGACAATGAGATCACATAATGTGATCCTGGGAGGAACAAACCACTGGGGAGAATTTCATCTGCTGAAAAGAATGACATATTTTATTTTGCTTTGGGATGGGATCTCCTTGCCAGCTCGATAGAGTCAAATGCTGCTGTCTGCTTGATCAAATCTCCGATTTCTCAGTGCAGCCCCGCTAGCTTCTTTATCTGTTCCCACACTGCTATTTCGCATAAATGCTACCAGTTGTAGTCAACTGTCACTAGACTGTGCAATATCTAGCCTTGCTGCTTCGGTAACCAGCTTGTCAGCCAAGAAATAGAAATAGCTGCAAGGGATCTGGCTGTGTAGGCTTAGTTAGTTCAGTCACCTCCAAAAACCTATGAATAATGCACCTTGGAGAAGGCAACGGCTCGTTCTGCAGCTGCCGACCAGGATTTCATACCACTGCAAATGTAAAGGACTGGATTTCAGCGATGGGGCCGAGGTTGCAGGGTTGAGATCTGTAACCAGAGGTTGATGGTGGGGGTGGTCTTCCAAGGAGGGTCCTGATTCAGTTCCTTCCAGGGCAGGGGAGGCAGGCGGTGTATAGGTCAACTCTGGAACCACATGTCTGGATGTTTGGATGCAGGGTTTCGGTTTGACCCTATGTGATCTGTAATGCCAGCTCCCATGTATCAACCTTGAAGGTTTTTCTCTGTTACTTTCCGTGAAAGAGTGAGACATTAAAATTATTTATGTAAAAGGTATCACTCTGTATGATAAAGAATGACTATGTTTATTCTAAGCATGCTGTGAAAAGTTTTTGTCTAAGTCTTTGCTGCAAGCAAATGAACAATTGCAAGTGTTTCCTAACTTCAGCTCACCTGGCATTTTTACCCACTCCTGAGGGCAACCCGTGAGTGCTCTAGGCAGTGTATTAATATGCCCAGGCCCCTTGGACACTTAGGTCTTGGAGGACGCTCTGTGGTTGTGCTTCCAGGCTCACAGATGTAGAAGAACAGTCTGGTCCCAAAAGCCTCCTGCATCTTCCCTCTGCTAAAATTGTAGATGTGGCCTCTGAAAAATAGGTGGGGGTTAGCGTAATTTCAGCCTGTAAGAGATGGCAACGTAATGTGCCACTCCCAGGAGTGCCTGGGAGCAGTGACCAAATGACACCTGTCCTTCTGTAGCACAGTCGGGGAAAGCCCAAGTCACCGCTGATCTTGTCCCCCGCAAGGGAATCACAGAATCATTAAGGCTGGAAAAGACCTCTACGATCATCAAGTCCAACCGTCAACGCAACACCACCATGCCTGCTAAACCATGTCCTGGAGTGCAACATCCACACGTTTTTTGAACACCTCCAGGGATGGTAACTCCACCACTTCTCTGGGCAGCCTGTTCCAATGCCTGACCACTCTTTCAGTAAAGACATTTTTCCTAATATCCAATCTAAACCTCCCCTGACGCAACTTGAGGCCATTTTCTCTTGTCCAGGAAGGTCCCTGGCCTTGTGCAGGAGAGCCTTGCTGCAGCCTCTGTGTGATGCCATGTTGAATTTTCCACTTAGCCCGCGCCGCTGGGTGGAAATGTTGGCTCTCGGGACATTGCCGTTGACTCCTTGCAGCCTATGACAGCGTGGCTATTTCCATGTGGGCCCCTGTAGCAGCTGGGGTAGCCCCGACTAAAGATGCCTGAGCTCTTGCGTGGTGTTGTGCTGTGTTTTTCATGATCTGGTCCCGCGTTTCCTCATGCAGGATGTCACCTTTCAGCTTGTTATGCCTCTATTAACCCATAGCAAGGCCGTCGCATGGGGGCTTTCTCATGCACTGTAACCCCTGCTGCTTATGCCGAGGCTCGAGGACTCTGATAGTGATATCAGTTAATGAGAATTCCTAGTTAGCACAACAAGAAGGCTCTCCTTAGTGATGGCCACATTGCTGCAGGCTTTGTGAAGGCAAGGCTTTTTAAATGAACAGCCACAGACCGCTCTCTCCATTACAGTGGGTCCTGTGGAAGTTGAAGGAAAGGTCCTGCCAGGGGTCCACTATTGTTTTACATCGACCCCACTGAGCAGCGCTTCAGGCATCTGCTGTGTGGTGCTTTACATTAGCAAGAGGTAATGAGAGTTTATTCCATATCTCTCAGCCTCCTGAGATACAAATCAGAAGTACGTTCCCCAAAGCAAGGGCAAGGGCCAGCCCGGGGTCATTTCGGAGAGGAAGAAACAGAGAGAGAATGCGAAAGTTGAAGTGATTCCAGTTTGTGTTTTAGAAAGATCTTTCCATCTTAAAGATCTCTTCTGGTTAAAACATTGTGTATTTTAGTCATATGATGCTCCTTTCACGTTGCAGATTTTTCCATGCAGTTTTCACTGTATGATTGCCTGCCAGGCAATCAGGTCCAGCCCCTTGGCAGATGCTACAGGTATGGCAGTGTCACTTGTGTAAATGTAGGTTCCAGCATCAAACCTGCAGTTGCAGCCTGGGACCGGAGACCATATCATCCTGCCTTGAAAGTTTTGAGCAGACAGTGCTTAACAAATAATAATATGAAACAAATAAAAAGGCGTGTCAGGCTTCAAAGAATCTCAATCTGCTGTTGCCACAGCGAGTGGCTTCTGTAGGATGTTTAGTCCACCCCTCACAAATGAGTAGGTGCATTTGTAGAGCCTGGACCCCTGTGAGCACACTCATCATGCTAGCACAGGTAAATAGCTAAGGCACAGGCATACATTCATGTTCAACTCCGTTCATGTGCTAGAGACATAGAAGATGCCACAAATATGCGGGTAAAAGTGTACACACCAATTCTTCTCATACTTCTGTGCAGCTCCCCACAGCACGTAATGCCTGGTGGGCATGCTGACTTCAGTCTGATTTGGAGTGACATTCCACTGCAGTCCAGTGGTGCCCAAGGGAAAATGTTTTATCACCCCACTGCATCTAGAGCTATAGCTTGACACGTATTTGAGGAAAGTGTCACTGGAAAAAGCAGTTCCCACCCTGCTTTTTCCTAGCTTCTTGCTGTTACCATCTGCTAAGAAACCTTTTCCAGTGGCCGTGCCACTTTAGAAGCATGTAGAATTAATTAATTCCCTGCTAGCCTGCCGTGGGCAGCTTGTGACTCCTAAGCTTTAAGCAGCTCACGAGTGGCTCAGGTGCAGCATCTGCCCAGGTCTGTGTGGAGCACCCAGGCTGCTCGCAGTCGGAAGGGGAGGCTGTGGCAGCAAGCGTCTTTACAGCTTTTGGGCCCAGCTGGCTGTTTTGCAGTGCACTATCATTATGTCCCATCTCACTCAGTCAGTCTTTATTCATTCTGTCCTTTTATGAAATTAGAACTGCCTCAAGCAACTTTAGACTTTCAATGCCAGTGAAAATTTCAGTGCACACATAAAAACTGTATTTCAGTAACTATGGTACATGCAAAACCCAGATATAAACATTTGTTGCCCTTAAAACTCCCAGTTGCTGGAGTCAATTTGTCTCTGCTATCGCTGATCAGTATTTCAGCCACCACTGTGGAATATGTAATGGAGCAAAGTGCTTGGAAGGAAACAGCAGGAGATCAATTGCAATGGAAACCATGTGTGCCGGAGGAATAATATTTACCTAAATCTGTCTATCACATCTTCCCAAAGGATGCTGCCATTAGGAGAGAATGGATATGAAAATGTTGCCTCCATAGATAAAAGTTAGGAATATAATTTTTTAAACACAAACTTTAATATTCTTAATTAATTCCATATTGTAATAACAGAGATAAAGCCACATCCATGAAGGATAATACCATGTACTCCAAAGATATAAACCACGGTTTAATGAATAGCAACAGATGCCGCATGACTCATGTTCAGTCTGTTTGTGCAGGCGTTTACAGGACCGGTGACTTCATGACAGATTGAGGAGTGGAGCAAGGGGACAGAGCTGAATAAAGAAAAAGCAACTCCTGGTGCATCAGGCAAGGTGCACATAACAACGGAGGTCATACCTGTGTTCTTACATGGTGTATTTTGCAAACTGCAATGATGCTTTAAGCAGCACTGAAATAGATGAACTTTCAAGTTGGTTTGGAGCAGCTGATAAAACCACGAATTTGTCACAGCCAACTGTAGGCCCAAATTTCACATCTGGGTTAACATTAATGTCTGTACAGTCTTCTATAAATTCATGTACTGATCTCTGTGGCTAGAAGTCAGAGCACTTTGGTCCTACTGGGTTGAAAGAGCTGGGTTGGGGTCCAGTTTGAGGAATTAGTGAAGTGTAACTCCAGTACTCAGAATAGCCCATCATGATGGCTTGGTAGGGCTGTGTTCATTTTTGGGCCCCTCACTACAAGAAAGACATTGAGGTGCTGGAGGGTGTCCAAAGAAGAGCAACAAAGCTGGTGAAGGGTCTAGAGCACAAGTCTCATGAGGAGCGACTGAGGGAACTGGGGTTGTTAATTGGAGAAAAGGAGAGAGACCTTATCAGTCTCTATAACTACTTGAACGGACGGTGTAGTCAGGTGGATGTTGGTCTCTTCTTCCAAGTAGGATGTGATTGGACAAGAGGCAATGGCCTCAAGTTGCACCAGACGAGGTTTAGATTAGATATTCGGAAAAAATTCTTCACTGAAAGGGTTATCAAGCGTTGGAACAGGCTGCCCCAGGGAGTGGTTGAGTCACCATCCCTGGAGGGATTTAAATGACTTGTAGGTGTGGCACTTAGAAATATGGTTTAGCGGTGGACTTGGCAGTGTTAGGTTTACAGTTGGACTTGATTATCTTAAAGGTCTTTTCTAACCTAAATGCTTCTATGGTTCTATGATTCACCCCTAACAACAGCACTTGCAGCAATCTTTCTCCTCAGTTTTGTTGTCCAACTGTACCAAAGTACCACCAACAGCAGTTCCTTTCAGAGGAAAGAATTTTGTATAAGAGACAACAGTGAGACCCTCTGAATCATGTGCTCCATCTGGGATGGTGGATTTGCCCTGAATGATAGTTCTTGACTAGTGGGAAAATGTGTCAGATGATTACACCAAACAGGCCTGGGTG